TAAAATACTTTTCTCTTTTGGGTTGTTGTTTAAAATCTGGTGAGCTATATCCGCCATCTTGGCTTTAAACCAACCCCGATCTTCATCGGATGTTGCGGCAAGAGGTTTGAGTTGGTCATACAAGTTTTCAAACTCAGCATGGATGGCTAAATCCGGAATTGATAATCGGAACCGCGTAGATCTTTTTCCAGTGAATCCTGATAAATATGTTACAAATATTTCTCATATTACTCTGTCTACTCATCAGAAAGAAGCTTTATCCCTTGAACTTGAATTTTGTGTTCCTCGCACGCAATTTACGGATTTAGCCATCCATGATGAGTTTGAAAACTTGTATAACTAACTCAAACCTCTTGCCGCAACATCCAATGAAGATCGGGGTTGGTTTAAGGCTAAGATGGTGGATACAGGTCATCAGTTTTTAAATAACAACCCAAAGGAGAAAAGTATTTTAAATTCCCAGCATTTCAAAGCCTTGAAAGAGCTACGGGAAAACTCTAATATAATAATTACGAAACCTGATAAAGGTTCTGAAGTTGTAATTATGAACAAAAGTGACTACAAATCCGAAATGCTATCTATTGTTGATGATAAAAGCAAATTTAGCCGTGATCCCTCCTCAGAAGATACCTACTTTTACTAAACATTATCTTGATCAGGCAACATCACACAGGAAAATGATTATATAAAACTGTATACTACTGATTGACTGAGATAAGTAGTTATATACCACTCACAATAAAATTGCCGACTAATTTGCAAATTTTGGATTTGATTTATGGTACCACCAGTCCGTTCAATTGGGTAGTCTGAAATCCGATGGTTTGAACTGATTCTATCCCCTAAGCTGAATTAAATCGAGTATACCACTGATGAGCTCAGCTACAAACGTGCGAAACGGCCCTCTGGTGCTTAGATCACTTCGATCAATCAGTAGTATGTAGTTTTTATGCCTTTATGCTTGCCTTCTTGATTATCACTTATGGTATCAAGCAAATTACATTATGGTGATCTGAATAACCTCGGTTTTCGAAGGGAACTATGGTCAAACAATCACCCTCAAACTGTGTAAATCGCGAATTAATTTGCAAGTTGGAAATTTACAGAATGGCTACAAACTTTCTTTTCATGACATTATTGTGATGAAAATGAATAATTATTTAGCCTTCTCTAATAACTAAAATTCATAGATAGGGACACGAGTCACAAGCTCAAAGATTCGATTTACAGCCAACAGGTCCCAGATTCAAATCGTACTTTGCCTATTTCAATCCATACACAACAGGTGTGGCACACAATTTGGTACATGAAGAATCTGTCTCCGGTAACTGAATTTTCATTAACGAACTAGTAAAATTCATAGATGTCTTCTTATACTGGACTAACTAACATATAAACATGTTAGACGTCAATTATTATGTAGCAGGCTATGAGTCACACTTATTGTGTAAGGACTGATGAAACTGCCAGTCACAAGTCTTAATCCCGACCCACCTATTGAGGTTTGAGCAGCCAGACAGTATCACTAGTTCCCACACAACACCTATAGCTCACTCTTAACTACGTGAAAATGTGAGATATTCATTTAACCCTACCAACCGTTGCTCAGTCCAAAGTACGTAGAGTGGGATTCGAATCCTTTGGGATGCATTAACAGATAACCCAATACTTAGGTCAATGAGTCACATCTCTGCAAGGATCGTAAAAGATACATGTTATGCCAAGCTTTGAGCACTTACCTATGAAATACTGCACCATGAAATTGCATTAGTAGAAAGGAACGCAAAGACTGTGCCAAAAGTCATTAAGACAATCTCTAATGAAACAGTCGGTTACCTAAATATTAGTATACTTTTAGAAATGACAACCAGTGACTATTCAGCTGTGCATATGTTTTTAGTTGTGTTATTGGTAAATATTGTAATCTACTGATCCAGAATTCCACTCATGGAAACACTGTCACCTAATAAGCGACAATTTACCATCGAACAGCGAATATATGATATAAAGTAAGTTCTTTGTGCATCAAACTACTTTGAACTGAATGCCTTGAAGCAGGTAATCAGATATACCCTTATCACTCACAATAAATTTAACCCAATTTCATCCATATAGTTACAAGTTTTAAGGAAAAAAAACAATCACGAGAAGAACTTGAATTGCATTCGAACTGAAGTTGAACTATTATATCCTGTCATTTTGTTTAAATTACTGGTCTTTTTCAACCCACTTCCTTAATATTTGACAGGCAGTGTTGAATATAAACACCTTCCCTATATTTCTTTCGTTTGCCTCACCAACCATTGATTGAGGTCGTTACAAAGCTTTTAGTGAACCTACACCACATCTGAAGATCACCAGAATTAGTATCAGGCTGTAGAGAAACTTACTTGTTTTTACCAGCACTCGACTGCAAACTACAAGTTTCTAAGACAGACTAAATGAGATGCGGAACTTTTTCAGAGTGAACATTATTGTAGTGTTAGGATGTAGTAGTAGCCTCCAATGGGTTACTACCATCGACAGCTTCCAACGAAATCTGTGGTTATCGTTGGCTTAATTTCTAGCGTCAAAAAGTGAGAAAATGTCTCTTATTTGAAGGCAGTGCTAACCAAAAGCAAGTGATTATTGGCGAAGTTCAACAATAGCGTCCCAGGAGTGTGAACGCTCCAATGACCTTGAACGCATGCTAGTCATTGGCCAACGGCATCTGTCACTATCACAGCTGAAATATCAACGCTATTCACCAACTTAGGAGCAAATTTCACCTAGATCACGTTTTTAAGTACTGTTTGGACAATGTGTTAATAGCTCGTTAGGGTTAGAATTGGGGCTAAGGTAAGTATTGGGGTTAGGATCAGGGTTATAATTAGCATTAGGATTAGAATTACGGTTTGAATAAGGGTTATGATTAATGTTAGGTTTAGTGTTAGGGTAGGATTACGGTTACGATTAGGGATAGATTTATAGTTGATGTCATTTATTTTAATTTTTTATTATCCACGTTTTCCTGGTAAGTAGTCGTCTATCCTCTTGCTGGAAACCATAATAACTCAACCACGGGCTTTTTTGGAAGACTGCAAGCAGGATGAGAGAGATAAACGATTCACAAAAACAGTTTATCTGTAGTCATCTCGGTGAATACATGTACAGAAACTAGTCTAACTTAGCAACTGATACTCCTCGTTATAACTAGGACGTATTTTTAAGCCACGTTAAAGAACGATAATCTGTTTAATGCGTTTTCAAGCATTTTCTTGTCAATATAGATCATTTTCTGAGCAAACATTCCTCATTTTTATGATTGGTCAGCTGAAGGTCACTGGCGCGTTCGCACTTCTGGGACGCTTTTGTTGAACTTCGCCTGATTATTTAAACAAAACTTTGAAAAACAGTAACTGTTGTCAATTCATCAGCATGACGCTTCGTAGTGTCAATAATAAGCTTTTCTGAATGAAATATTAGTATTATTATTTTATTCCTTTACGTTCCCAGTGGAACATAGGGCTTCAAGCAAGAGACTTAAATTTTCAGTAGCAGTGGTGTTTATTTTTACGGGATAGGGTTGCTAGCCCCATGCCCAACCTTCCCTCTTTACCAGTCTTATTACTGGCCTAGTTATAGATTGCTCGCCAACCACGCATATGGTCAGGGGTTCGATCCCCGGCCGACGCACACATGAATGAATGATTAAGTTCCCGTAAATGAATATTAAAATCACTGCCTAATATGGCTACAAGTGAACGTTTGATTTTTCAGAATAAAAATTGATACAGAAGGCAGTTGAACAACAGATGATTTTAGTGTGATGATGGAAGCATGTGGACGATAGATACTTTCAAGTTTCTAGACTGTGAGAATTCATTTCTCTCTATTGTACTTGAAAGAGAAAGAAAACTAGTTTCGCATGATCACAGAGTTTGCCTGTTTGAATAAAGCCACATGAGGACTACTGAAGAGAGAGTTGAAAGTCGATTGCACAAGAAACCTTATTAAAAGTTAAGAACTACAGCAGGATAAGCTGAAGTGTACAGTTCCCAAGGTTATTACACAAAGATGATATTTCTAATATTTGAACATTACAAACATTTAAAGAACTTAATGACAAATTAATAGACAAATTCAGTCGGTATTAACTATGTTCCATTTATACAACATTAATTCTCTCTGTCAACTGTGATGATAGCATTTATTAGTCTTTGATTGAGCACTAGTCAGTAACTAGTGAAATGTGTCTAGTCCTTTGTTTGGTGCAGATTGAATTCTATCAGTCAGGTTTGCAATGTGGCCACCATTCTAGATGGCTCGCTATCACGATGCAATGTGAATTGCGGGTATTAGATTGTTGGAGGCAATTGTCAGAAAGCGTTCGACCTAGGTTTCGTCAGTAAGCTGTATCTGTAACTTCGAAGGAACTCATGTCCCTTCTGAGATACGGCTTACTGACTGGTAAGTGTCAACTAGCGCGAAACCTAAATCCAACGCTTCCTGCCAATTGCCTCCAACAATCTAATACCCACAATTCATAGTGCCCCGTGATGGCGAGCCACCTAGAATGGTGGCCACATTACAAACCTGACTGATAGAATTCAACCTGCACCAAACAAAGGACTAGATACATCACACTAGTTACTGACTAGTGTCCAATTAAAATATATATCCACTACAGTCCTACAGGAGGTCAATCGCGAGTCTGAATGGCTCAGTGGTAACGTCTTTGACTGCAGCACTGGGTGACGTGGGTTCGAATCCCAAAAGGGACATGAATTCCTTCAAGGTTTCAGATACGCCTTGTTGACTGGTGAGTGCCAACTAGCACGAAACCTAGGTCAAGCAAGGCTTCCAGCCGATTGCCCCCAACCATGTAATATCCATTTATTAGTCTCAAATCAATGCATTACAAACAGCAGTATCTCATTTTTAAATAAACACTTAACTCTTGACTGACTATGAATATTATACGGAGACAAAGAAAATAAGTGAAAATTGAGAATAAGAAATAATTTCACAAGAGGATTTTATGTACACAATTAATTAATTATTACAAAACTATTTACAATAAATATTAAATATTCAATCTTAAATTTACAAAAGACAAAATTTTGTCAATAATCTGCAGATGATAAGAAATCTTTACGGCCTAAATTCACAGCAGCCTTATTCTGCATAGCTTCTAATTTTGGACAATGTGTAATACGATGGCCTAAACCACCACAATAAGCACAGCCAACTTCACCACCCATTTCAAGTTCCGCTTCTGTAGCTGAGGCTAATTCAACAAGGAATTCTGGTACTGGTTGATTAGCTTCTATGAGTAAATGTTTCAAATCCAATAGAGTAGATTCATCAACTGATTTGTTAATAAAAGTTGTCGCTAAACCACGTTGATGACCACGACCAGTACGACCAATACGATGGACTAAAAATTCAATGAACAACGAGAAAAAATATAAAGACCTTAAATATCTTTCTATGAAAAGAACAAAAATTACTAGTCAAAATATATACACCTAATTAATGAACAGCGATTTAATACCGCTTTGAAAATGAATATCTCAAATACATTACAACTTAAAATTGTACACACACTCAAGACCTTATTTATATATTTGTACACTAAAATCCCTGATGATAGGGTAAATGGTATCACTTCTTCAAGTAGCTTTAATGCTGTGAAATGAAACTCCTGCATATCATTTAACGTACAGAATAGTGACATTACAATTATATAGCCAGGAAGGCTTCGTGTGCTTTTGGAAGTATGTGGGCGGTTGTTACTTCCCGGCTGCCCACACCGTGGAAGTTGATTGATTCTTCGGGAACCTGAAACAGAAAGAGTGTTGCGTGACCGCAGAGCCCAGGGGACAACTGCTTGAGGCCGGTCACACGCGGCCTGTTTTTGTTTTTTTATTTGGTGTGTTTCAGTAGCATATTTATCACTTCTGCCCTGTGACACGGCAGCAGGAAGCACGGTCGTTGTTAATCCGGGCGACGACTGATCCGGCATGATATTTTGTGAATTTGTTTGAATCATAGTATTGGATTGGGTAGCTGCTTTTTGTCTAACCGCTATCCAAACAACCTTCCTGGCATGGTAGGACCTGCAAGAACATAAGTTCCAGTCAGTGTAGCTCGTTGGCTCATTGCGATATGCAATCCCGACCACCACGTCAAGGTAGCAGCTATCGGTCGGGTATTATATAGCCAACAAATCAGTAACAACTAAGCTAATCTTGAAAATAAGAATGCAAAGAACCAGTAGTCTAGATTCAATCGCAAAACACTGAGTAAGTGAATGCTAACGCCAACCAAATCGATGTAATACTATCGCCATGACTATATTATATTCATCCCAATAAGACAGATACAGAAACTTGAAATATCCACTGTTACTACACTAATCTCATTAAATTAAATGAGTGATCACACTCTCAAGTAGCATATACATCCTCTTACATTATTATAATATATATTATTATTGTCTCCCTTAGTTCTGAGAGTAACATAGGGCTTCAGCCACACGCCTCCATTGCATTCGGTTCTCCACCAACGTTTTCGCCTGGCTCCACATCTGCCCACATGCTTTCATCTCCTCTTCGCATGACCTCCTCCATGTCACCCTCATAAAAACATAGATGCAATGTGATTTCATGTCATGGCATTTATTTCTCTACCCCATAAAAGATCTAAGAAGTCCTCAACCCCCCCCCAAGATTGCAATTTTAGAAGACAAAAAAGCCGTCACTCAAATGTTTAACAGTTGAATAATTATAATTTGACAACCACATAGAGATTTGTGTACCATGCAGCAAAGAATGTAAGAACTACAATTCTGCCTTACCACCAAAACCTAATTATACACAACACAGCGGGGCTCAAAAGCATAATTCAACTGTTGAAATTTAAAACAAAATAGCCATAGTTCAAAGAGACTGTGACAGTGAAAGTATTTGTCACTGTAATACTCAAAACCAAAAGCTAAAGCGATAAAGACCACAACTGATGATTATCGAGAGGAACTATTGAGTTATACATACATAATACATAAGACAAATACTGTTTTCCAGTTATCTACTCATTAAAACACCGTTGCTGCCATTTTATCACGGTGCAACCAATAGCACAGTTTCACACTCATATCTCTTAGTATACCAGTATTAATCACACAATTGTAGTAGGTGCATTGGTCTGACCTCCTATATGACTTTCCGAACAAGATACAATCGAAAATAATACATGTGTGGTGAGAGCTGTCTACTAGCCAAATTGGTAGACAGTAATTTACGTCAATATTTACGTTCCCAAGATTTGTCGTGAGAAAATGTGAACAAAGATTGATTCAAAACCGACCACAGCAGACTTTGCGTAGGCGGATGCAGTTAACATATAGAGGATTTGACATTCAAGAAACAGTCACAAATAGGTGAAAGATTAACTTTACGTGAGAAACAACCAATCGGAAGACTGTGTTTGTTTGCTTAAATAACCATAGTAATGTACATGAAAATATATAAATATGCTTTGATTTCCTTAATAAACGATCTGTTGCCTGGCCCTTGTCTTCTGTTGTTACACATGTACACCTTATTATGGTTTGACAGAGACAAAGAACTACAGGAAAAGCCACTACTCTACTATGTTAAGAGCAAAACATAATCCCACTCGCTATAATTACCTCTTGAATATTTCGATAAAGCTGGTTGAAACAAACTTAGTTAGCAATAAACACACACAAGCTAAAAGAACACTAGACACAACTATCATCCACATGTTGTATTATAAAACATTTATTTGGCACACATAAAGAATAGCGACCACGGAATGCGAACGCACTAATGCCACTCCATAAACGCATGTCATTCGTTGGACTACAGAACCTGCCGTGTAATATACATCAATAAGCCGTTTATTTACGAGAAAGACTAACATAATAATAATAATGAAATACATTAAAAACGATATTTTATTCTGGCTGATATGACCGTTAATACACTTTGGTAGTCTGCGCTAACAAACTTCCCACCTAGTTGATTTGTGAGCCTAAGATTCTAATCACTGTTAGCAACAACAATGACACGATATGATACCATCAAACCTGCGACTCAAGAAGACAGACCGTTGATGCAGAGAGCTATTACTGTCTCGAATCAACAGCGAAAAGGATTGACAGCAATCGCGTATATATGTGCTTTAAATGGCCATGGGAAACACTAATCACATTGATAAGTTAAGACAGTCAACAACCAATAGGGCTCCAAGGTCACAACTGGGGGGAATACAAACAGCACTGTGCTGTAGAGATAAGTGTGGTATTTTAGAAAAATTAGGTCTATATAACACTGGCATAACCAGAAAATAATTCCCAGTTACAATGAAGAGTATCAATTTTCAAATCCCTTAGGTATCAAGACGGTTTCATCTATATGAACACCGAAAAACTCCTTCATATTTATTTATTTACAAGAAAAATACAGATAATAATAGAACACCTCAATCCCAATCCTAATCACAGACCTAACCCTAACGTGCTATCAACCGATTGTCCATACAGTACTTAAAAGCAAGATCAGGACGAAATTTGCACATCAATTCGTGCACAGCGTTCATACTTGGTGCTGTAATAACGTCAGGTTCTATAATTCAATGAATGTTATTCGTCCAAAGTCACTGGTGCGTTCGCATTCTGTGGTCGCCATTCTTTAAGTTAAGCTTCTTATATTACTACACTTATGGGTACGACTACAATGAAGTCATATTGTGGTGACAGCTGGCTGCTAGCCAAAGTTGGTAGACAGTAATTGAAGTCAATATTTATGTCCCCAATATTGGTGGTGAGAAAATGAGAACAAAGGCTTTGCGTAGGCGGATACAGTTAGCACATAGATGATCTGACACAGTCACAAAGCGATGCAAGGTTAACTTTCTGTGAGAAACAGCCAACCAAAAGACTGTATTTTCTACTAACAATAATCTACAATAATGTACATTAAAATCTATAAATATGTGTTGATTTTCCTTAATAAACGATCTGTTGGCTGGGTCTTGTCTTCTGTTGTTACAATATTGCATACAACTTAAAAACTTCCTTTAAAACATGAGCTATTCCTTGAACAATCTATTAACGCGGGGGATTTTTCAAGTGTAATTCATAATAATTGGGCGTTGTTCGAGGCTGACATGGGGGAGATCTGGTGAGGAGATGAGAGCTTATGAACAATTTTGGAGCCAGCTGAAAACGATTGCAAGAAACAGGATAAAATGGAGATGTGCTGTTGGAGCCCTATGTTCTCCTCGGAACCCAAGGGAATAATTATATTATAATAATTCGTAAAACGTTAAGGCGATAATTCATTATTATTAGCAATAGTAGTAGTAATTAGCTTAAACTAACCATAATTTTCAATATCTTCTGGCATATCATAATTGATGACATGATTAATTTCAGGGAAATCTAAACCTTTACTAGCCACATCTGTAGCGACTAAAACATCACGATGATGAGCTCTAAACTCTGTGACAGCTGATACACGTTCATCTTGATCTTTTCCACCGTGTATACTAACCGCTTCAACACCTTTTAATAAAAGATATTCATGTATAGCATCGACATCTTGTTTACGTTCAGCAAATATAATAACCTGTTTTTAAAAGTAAACAAAAACAAAAACAATGAATGTTAATAATAATCTAATTTTAAGGGGAATTATAGGCAATAACTGGTTCAAAGGTTATGTCTAACTACCATGTCTTTATTATCTGAAAAAAGTCAGTATTTCATACATTTCCGTTCCCTTGGTAAGTTGTAATAAAGGAAGAAAGAAAGACCAGATTTGCAGTATAAAATGATATCAGCATTCTATTTCACAGGTTCTCATCAGCTGCTGCAAACTACCTGAAATTACAGTGGTTGTAAATAATGACAATAACATACTTCAATGCTTGAATAGCACACAAGCACATCCGAAATATAAACATTACAATTGGCTTTAGTTTAAGTTAACATCAGTTTATATGCTTCCAAAGTAGAAAAGGACGGGTGAGGGGAGGAGAAGAAAGAAAACGGAAAATTCTAATAAACAGTGTTAGCATGTAGGTTTACATAGCAACTCAAGAGGGTTACAGTTCATAAAATTGAGTTGCTATGTAAACCTACATGCTAACACTGTTTATTAGATTTTTCTGTTTTCTTTCTTCTCCTCCCCTCACCCGTCCTTTTCTACTTTAAAAGCATATAAATTGATGGTAACTTAAATTAAAGCCAATTGTAATGCTTATATTTCGGAAGCGTTGATTTTATAATGTTCTCTTTAGTATTATTCAAGCATCGAAGTATGTTATTGTCATTATTTATAACCATTGTAATTTCAGGTAGTTTGCAGCAGCTGATGAGAACCTGTGAAATAGAATGCTGATATCATTTTATACTGCAAATTTGGTCTTTCTTTCTTCCTTTAATGAAAGCCACTATTCTTAAATATCATACATTCAAACTTTAGAGAGGACATGAGTTTTTTCTCTTCAAAATTGCACCCCTATTATTCAAATCTGTAACTAAGTTTGTTTTTAAGGATATAGACACTTAAAAGAATCTGTGCATACAGAATAGAATGAAATCTAATAACTCAGTGCTTAAAGCGCTTATATATATATATATATATCATTGCAGTACTGTTCTCTAAGTGAAAGTACAGTAGATAGAATCAGTGATTACTTTACGTTACACTCTATGCAATAAACCATTAGGGATTCTAGTGTTACTACCATAATTTGGCGTGTTCTACTGATAAGATTTATCAGTAGTATATAAACAGACGTTCATTGGCATAAAAACATCAAATAACAGGAAGATAGATCTGACGTCAAAGATAGTAAATGATTCAGCGTTGCGGATATGCATGGGAGAATTGAAAGTAAGACAAAGAAACACAATATGAAAGCTAGAAGTAGTACTACACGGAAGATCTGTGCAAATTATGATTTCCAGAAAGGTGTACATATTTCCACTACATAGAAATACCAAATTCCAAATAAACATTCCTTTATCAAGTCTCTCATCTTCTACGATTACAATACTCTATTCTATTTACTAAAGAAAAAATACACTTCGTTATCATTGCTCAAAACTTCTCATAGTTAAAAACAAAAAATCAAGAATACAATAACTTACAGGAGGTGGAGTTTTTTGCAAAGCACTAAGTAAATGTGGAATTTTCGCTTCATGTTTCACATATTCTACTTCTTGAGTAACATTCATGCTAGCTGCACCGGCTCGACCAACATTAACAGTAACCGGCTTTACTAAGGCTGATTTAGCAAAATTCTGTATTTTCTTTGGCATAGTAGCTGAGAAGAGAAGAGTTTGACGTTGGCCCTAGAGTAAGCGCAGAAAACAAAACAGTGAAATAATAAACAATGAAATCAATGAAATATGATCTAAACTAGTAAACAACACTGTTGTTATGACAACAATACAATAAGCTTTATTTTAATCTCTTTAAAAGATAAAATATAAAAGGGAACTACGAGATACAATACTCCAATCTAGTTTGTCCACTGTGTATCAGGCTGAAAAAACACTTGGCTATTACATGACAGTAGAAGGTTAACCGTTCGTCGTCTACTGGAGATTCATGATTTACTTATAGAAGTAACAATTAACATCTTCATAGTATCCTATCAAAACACATCCCTTTATTTTTATTGTAACTTTGAAGGGTAAAAGAAAATAATAACTTCACTAGAACTTTTTTCTCAGAATTCTCTCTCATACTTTATTAACGTTTCACATCATTTTGATAACATGACTCCTGTGTCAAATAACAAGACTGTAGCTGGATAGTAAAGTGTTCGCATTATAATCTGACTGTCTTGGACTGGATTTCTTGGTAATTCACGGGTCTATGTACAACACTCTTTGATTCGTAATCAACTTCTTAATTTATTTATATCAGTTCACGGACTACACTGAATCAATGAAATCCCTATCATTTCAAACTCTGAGAATAGGAAAATGCTGCAAAAACCAGATTTTCAAGCGTTGTTTTGTAAGGATTTAATTAGTTTCAGTCTAAATCACAGATTAATATTAGTTGGATAAACGCTGAAAGCCAGTAAGTACTGTACAGCTATTTCGTCCTAGTTTGGGGCTCTTCATCAGTATGCACCCATGAACCCACCGATAATTGAACCTAGAACCTTTAGGTTACGAGGCGACTGGAACAGAATTCAGTGACCCCACAATGCCAACTTTTATCAGATTGTTTTATTTCCATTTTATTTCATTGGAAATCTGAACTAAGACCTAACCTTTGTCACTTGAGTAGGACTAAATTATGAAGTGATGGAGAAAATTTGTTTTCCAGGTGACTGTTTTTGTATTGTTACATTCTCTGAATTGAATAGTGCAACTGTGCACTGGTCTGCTGGGATTTGACAACGGAGATATTTAGGAATAGAACTGATAGTTTCCCTGGTGGATACTCTGTCTTTTGACAAAATCCTCCCATTTTTCGAACAGATAGAAGCGTATTCCGACGATCAAACTATCCACACATTAGAGAACACAACAACACCTAACACTAAATTATATTTGCGAATAAGTAAGTTCAAGCATCATTTTAGATATCTCTTAATTTGGAAGTAAATTCTCGAATAAGTCTATTTTAGGAAAACCTTTCAACAAGACAAAAGGTTCCAAACTTCAGTAATTTATTAAATAATAGGGAGTAATATAGTCATTCTGCGCCACCGACTTCACGGTAAATAAGAAAAAGCCCTAAAATGTTAACTAACAGATAATTATTTCGATTATGAGCTTTTGTCTGTCTGTCTGTCTGTCTGTTTTCGACATAGAACTTTGTACATATGTGTGGCAGTTCAAGTCGCCACACTCCATGTAGCACACAAAGCAAGAGAAGGGAGTAAGGGAAATGCGTAATATAGACAGTAAACAGAGGTGTGAAACAAAGGAATAGTAATAACGAAGAACAATATAGTTTCATTTGAAATCATAAGTCACAAGGAGTGGATGCATCTACACCAGCCATTGAGAACGATTTTGAGCCGTGTCACCAATTGTTTCCAGCCATTGGTTTTTACCGTCCCGACGACCCCGACCAGGAAGTCTATACCTTCCTACCTGGCCTATACTAACTGTTGTAGATTTCATTGACTGGTGCCATGTTTTGGTTTGACCGCCACTAGCTCTTTTTCAGCCTGACCTTATGTCAGACGCCTAACCTTTTGTAGAGATTCGCATTAATTTCAGTAAAGATTTCGTCACGAACCAATGTCAATTTCACAACCACTGAGACAGCGGGGTGCACTGGACATCCGTTTCGTCCCAGTTAAGGAATCTTCGGCAGTACAAACTTTTTTCAAGGTGAAGTGAATATTCAACGAAGCCATTGGTTAATGGTAGCGCCATATTACGGGTTGACAAAGTTGAAATTCACGTGAAATTGAATTCCGGCCAAAGTGACTGAATGGTCGACGAGATTGACCTCATAACCTCAGTCCTTCTTGGTGAAATCGTGAGTGTGCTCTGCCGATGAATCTGAAGCTAAAACAAAACAGCTGTCTAGGGCTCCTTGATTCTCGAACTGATGTTGGTTCATAACGGAATCTACATCGAAAATAAGCGCCCTTATGAAAACGAAGAATAATAAGTTTCACATTCTTATAATTAATCTAAACTGACAATGAACTTGAATGCAAGCTAACGACGTATTGACAACCAACGTGTGTTAGCAGCAGTGCAATGAGTATGACATCATCTGAGAAATAGGAGAGTGATAAGTTAAAAGTGAAGATAATAAATTGAAATAGAGAAACAAGCGAAGTACAAGCCACAATAGCAAAAAAAGGCAACATCAAAAAAAATATTTAGAGAAACCGTTGTTATGTAAATTACCTTGAAATAAGAGAATATCGTCCGAACTTCTTCTTCGAAACCCATATCAATCATTCTGTCTGCTTCATCCAAAACAAGATATCGACATACTTCTAGATTAATCATTTTCCGTTGAAGCAAATCTATTAAACGACCTGGTGTAGCAACCAAGATATGCACACCAGATCTTCGAACTAATTCTGCTTGATCTTTAACAGCCATACCTCCAATACATAAAGAACAACGAATATGCGGGAATCCACTTTTCACTAAGCCATCAACTAGACCACAAATTACTTCATGTGTTTGTCGAGCTAATTCACGCTACAAGAAAAGAAATAAGATAATAATATTTTACATTGAAATTATTTTAGAAATATTTTGGCGCAGAAGTTATGCCCTGAATGAGTTTATGTTAAACAAGATTTTCACTTAACAAAATAAAGATGGCATCAACGATAGGGAATAAATGTAAAATATTTGGGCTTGTTAAAAAATCAGTCCCCTTAAAAGGATGGAATACGACAAAGACTGAGATGATGATGTTAGGTAGAACACACATTGAAAAACACTTCAACAGACCAACACTTCCCCACTATCTAACCAGTCTGAATGGGACACAAACGTCGGTACACTGAATATAACCACAGCTACAGAAACTGTCTTTTCTTTTGAAACGAGACAAAGCAACAGGAACTGATGTCATGATTCCAGAGGCGATTATAGACAGTAAGAACGAATTATTGA